TGTCTATTTGTAGCAAGAACTCTTTGATAACTAAATGAGGCACATGTAGTTTTGATAGATGGTTATGGTTATGTCCACATTATATTATCTAATGGCACAATATTGCCCATTGAAGTAGCTCAATTTTTCTCCACGTTCCAGTAGAACATTATTAAACTTTAAAAATATTTGAGCTAATGGTTATTTTGTTGAAACCATTGGAGACAAGAAATCGAGTATATGTGCATCATCTCTAACGTGTACGGCCAGAAGCGTATATAGGGAAAATTAGAGGAATTTTCGACACAGTTATGTAGAAGCACAATTTGAATGCCAGAAGCATAAGTTGTCGATTGCTCGAAATCAAGTAATTTGATTATATGTCAGCATACGCACATACCTGTAATGATTCAATTTATTTCTTGGAAGTAGTCCAAGAAGATATATGTGAAATATGTATCAACATCTATAACTTAAATTTAGAACCTTAGACAGACGATCTCTTACCCGCTCAAATGCGGACTGTCACTTTGATGAGACTGTCTTCCCGCCGTTAAGGGGAGGAAAGAACATCCACGCTAACGTTCATGGAGAACGGCGTGAAGTCGTGTGAGACGACCCCAGCGTGTCTCATCAAGATCCCCTACATAAGAGAATTGATACATAGATTAATAGATCATCCATACTAACGTTCTTGAAGAACGACGTGAAGTCGTGTCGGATGACAATATAGATTTGCAAGAAATGTCTATAGTAACATTCCCGAAGAACGGCGTCAAGTCGTATGGGACGACTTAGAAATCTGCAAAGAATGTCCATACTAATGTTCGTAAAGAACAATATGAAGTCGTGTAGAACGAATAATGCCTGACTCATTCTCTATTTTGAAAAGGCGACAAGATATCAAATATGCCTGCGAGGATAGATGTCCTAAAAATGACGAAATACGGGTAGGCCATCAAATATGCCTGCAAGGATGGATGTCCTAAAAAGGACGAAATACGAGTAGGCCATCAATCCCTGCTAACCAGTCTTGCATCCCTGCCCAGAAGAGGGGGAGATAAACGGGATAAAAGAACTCTCATCCCTGGAAGTGGATAAATGCCCAATAATTGTATCTGGTTAACACTAGTACAAATGGGATCTCACCTGATCCATCTCATAAAATAATTCTAAACTATGGATTCGTCCTGCAGACGAAGTTGAGGGACGCCTCGACATTAATATCCATTCCTGAGAATAGAAACATCTCGATTAGTTATTCATGCATGAATGAGATGTGGTATCAGACTGAAATGATCATCGATGACATATTTACTTATACAATAGCTACTGAACTTATATCGAGTGAAGAGATAAAACGCCGGTCAATTGATAAGTATAAACAATGGGATGATGGGCCTAAATAAGAAAAAACAACTCGAGCTGAATTTGATTTCTTGATAAAACGAAAAGTGTAGAGACCAGTAATTCCTACAACTCCTTGAATTTCACCCATAGGATATAAGTGAGTACTCACAAAGTAAAATGGATGAGATTGGGAACTAGAAGATTCATCTCATAGCTCAAGGAATGGAATGAGATTGGGAACCAGAAAATTCATCTCATAGCTCAAACGAGATTGGGAGCCCGGAGACTCATATCATAGCTCAATGAACGAAATGAGATTGGGAACCAGAAGATTTATGTCATAGCTCAAATGAGATTGGGAACCAGAAGATTCATCTCATAGCTTAAACAAGATTAGGAGCCAGAAGACTCATCTCATAGCTCGAACGAGATTTGGAGCTAGAAGACTCATCTCATAGTACAATGATTTATGGGCAAAAGAGATTGGGAGCTCGAAGACTCATCTCATAGTTTAAGGATTTCCTCAGCAACCTGAGATTGATTTTAAAGAGTTATACTCTTTCATGGTGAATGCTATTAAATTCGTGGCCAGAAAGTATCTTACGGGGATCTAGATACAAATATTTATATGAAATTCCTTAAAAGACTATGTTTCTTTGAAACAATTAGTTCCAGACCACGGAACATAAACTCAGTTGGGCTGAGACGTTCACTTAAATCGAGGCTTCAAATATTTCGGAAGAATATGATAATATTATAAGTGAGTAAATGCTCCAGAAGAGAATATGTGAACACTAATTTGTTTTTATTGTTCCCATTACTACAATTTATGTTAAGGACATGAACTTGATTTGGACTCCTGAAGAAATCGAGTAAGAGAAACTCAATTGTTGAAAATTTGAGTTCAAGATCAAAGATCTAAATGAGACTAATTTGTTGTCTCAACGAGCTTAAAATTTATCATGTCAATTATATTTTTGTCCATCAATCGAATTATATGGAGAAGATATTATGGATAGAGAGAAATGTTCGAGTAACACCTATGGGAGTTTGACAGTGGAATACGTCCAATGATTCATTCCGTCCCATGGAGAAGGCCAAGGAAGTGTTAGCACCAGAAATGCCATATGTAATGCAAATATGCATTATTATGCTTGAATCCATGTCCTCGATATGATTTAGCGTTTTCGGTAAATTTATTAGATATAATTATCTCAACTTACCGTCACGCCCTACGCATCAATGAATGAGGCGAAACTTGTGGTTTATATTGGCATTAACTGGAAGTCATATCCATAGAAAGCTCGTTCACAATCAATGGTTTAATATTGGGAAAATAGCTATGTCTTGGGGTTCTATGAAATGTACCTTAGTTGTCACTAGATCAAATCATGCATGTTGTTTGCTTCACGAGATAGAGAGTGAATGCACATGGCCTGGAGCCATGATTAGGCATGTTCAAGATTCCTGGGAATTGACTAACACAGAAGATCCTATGGGATTGTATTTGACTGTAATACAGTATGCATTGAGCAAATGAAGATGAGCTTCATTAAAGTGACAAATCCATGTACATATCTTTGAAGTTTTTTTCAATCAGCAACAACAATAGCCTAAACAAATAATGATCCCGCATATCGAAATTTGAGATAACTGCTCCAACTTTAAGAATAAGTTTTGCCTAAAGTCAACTTTTGAAAACATGTTAAGGCTATTGACTTGAGTAGATTATCCGAACTCACTCCCTTGTACATATCGTGGGGTTAACTTGAGGGGGAGTACCGTGTAGGTACTCAATATCCAGAAGATACTCGGGTGCCATGTTGTACTCTTTTTCCTTTGTGCGAGGTTTATTTTTCCTATGGGGTTTTCGTTACTCGCCAAGGTTTTAACGAGGCAACACATGCTGATTGGAAAGATTGTACGTTGTACTATTTTTCCTAATCGAGGTTTTTTTTTTCCCACTGGGTTTTTATTACTCGGAATGTTTTAACGAGGCAACATGAAAAGCACAATAGTTTTTTGATAGGAATCCCCAAGGGGGAGTGTTGTAAATAATATGGAAAAATGGGTCTTCCTATCCTAACAATGAGAGGTTGTAACCTCCATATTCCACTATAAATTCTCAACTTTCCACTACCCCCATTATCCCCACACATTGTAGTGGTTGTAACTCCTTTGTAACTTCCGGTGGATTACACCTATATAAATGAGAATCTCCCCTCCCCTAAACACACAATTTTCTCTCTACGGATTGTTGTTCTTTGCATTCTCTCTTTCTCTCTTTGTGTTGTTATTTTCATTTTTATGTATTTCCACAAAAACAAACTAAAGAGCTAGATAAATAGGCCATTTTACCACAACATTTATAATATTTTGATACAATTTGGGTTTGGGGAGTATTTTGTTGTTATATTTTCTCGTTGTGGGAGAGTTTTGCTTTATTTGCAATTAGGGGTAAGTTAGTCATTTTCGGCAAGGCCACAATCCATTTCGTGTTAAGGGGCAGTGTGCTTTGTCAAAAATAATATAAGGGGTATGTGTCAATTTTGTTAAACACTAGGATTTCTTTAGCCATTCGAGATTACACAAAGGATTATGTGTAATTAACTCAAATAACTACTCACTAATCATAGTGTGTTACTATGTGTAAATCAATAGTTCAAGATCATCCAATGTATTTCATCATGTGTAGCATCTATAAAACGGCTTTTGTATATTTAATCATTTATTTAATTTACATTAGAAAGTCAATTGAAAAATAGATTTTATTTCGATTTTTACAAACACTGCGGTGGTTTCATGCAATTGAGTCAATGAACAAATAAAGTGTGAATTATTTATTCATTTAGGTGCTAAAAGATATAGGATTTGAAACTTTTCCCGGTATCTTATAATATGTAGTTATTTAGTATATATGATATAGTAAATAACAGTGTTCTAAAACTCGGTCGAGACGGCCAATTAATCGGTCGATCTCCGAGGCGGAGGTAGGGGCGGTTTAATACCTTTATGATTTCTTTGTAAAGGTTTGAAAATTCGGTTTTTGCCTATTAGGCAGTTTAAGGTGGTCAAAAGTCGGTCAAAAATGATTTTATGCATTGTTTTAATTTTTTTATGTTAATTTTTATTTTTAAAGGACCTAATGATATATGCTTACAATGTTCAAACATAATTTTGGACGCACAGGATTTTCATTATATTTTTATTTGTAAGAATTTTTATTATATTATGAGTTTATTATTATTAAAATTTTATTGTGTAATTATGATATATAATTGATGGGATAAAATTATATTTCCTAGCACGACGATCTTGATGTTGAGTATTTATAAT